AATGAACAGCAAGAAGCGGATGGTTTAAACTGCTCTAGCCAGATCCGTACTGCTGAGTTTGCAGCATGAAAAAGTTTGAGACTGACTGCCCAGGGGCCAACTACTGTCAGAGTTTTTCCTTCTCTGTCGTTACAGCTTCCTCCATGGAGAGGAAGAGCCAATCCCAATGGCAGAAGCCCCGAATGAAGGCAGCTCTGGGTGACAGAGTGGGACAGGGTGGAGGGAGCCCTCATGGGGGAGAAGGCTGCCCCTGGAGGTCTACGGGGGCTTTGTTTTGTGGGCTGTGGACTGCAGGACTGAGCTGCAGGGATACGGTGTAGATTGGTCTGGATAATACACTAAATTAGAAATGCTAGCCTTCAAGCTATCAAGCCCTTGATTCTGACAGCCCGTCGTAGGCACTAAATACCAAAATCAGAGCGCGGTGTCTCTCTCTCTCTCTACTGCTTTCCTGGCACTTGACTTAAGCAGAGTGCAACTGTGGAAAGACTGCACTGAAGAAGTGAAGGTAAAATCTCCTCAAGAGGCCTGGATAATACTGGCCTCATCTATAAATAAGCCACAGATGACCTTGTATGGAATTCCATGAGCTGTAGGTTAGAGTGATTTTTTTTAGCCCTTCTTAGTGGTCATAATTTTAGCCCTTTTTAACCCTCCTAAATGAAAGGTCGGTGGCTAAGAGACAGCTGAGAGGTCAAACCTATCTGTTCACCCTGCCGCTGCTGGCCGTGTTTCATCAATGACCCTCACCTAATGCAGGGTCACTAAGTGCCTCAAAAGCAATCGAGTTCTCCAGCAAAAGCTGAGAGATTGCTTCTTCAATCACTCTTTCTTGCACCTTCTCTATGTAGAGGCATCTGACAATGTTGGATCATGTTACAGAAAAACAATGCAAGTGGCTTATTGCAACCTACAGTGCACTTAGGTTTTAGCCTCTTGTATTAGCCTATGGGTCTGTGTTCAAGGTGTCTTTGGTTTTTGTTTCGTTTCGTGGTTGTTTCTCTGAGATTAGACAGCAGGGCCCAGATTCCTTTCCTATATGAATCTAGAATAATTCTTGTTATACAGAGAGCCATTCAGGATTTATATTAATAGATATGAATAGAAAATATGAAAATATTTAGCACCAGCCTGAGTAAGAACCAAATGTATCCTGACTTTCTATCAAAAACAGTATAGTTCCATTTTCTGTAAGATTCAAGTGAACTGGTTCCTATCTACCTCGTTTCGGAATTTTTTATTATTATAGGATTTTCCCTCTTTGGAGAGGTGGTGATTTGGAGATGCTGAGCACCAAGGAATAGATTTGATGATGTTTATCCCTGTTTGCTTACATAGGTATACAGGTCTTAGCTTTATCCATAAAACTGACAGGGTCCTCATAGCATGTTAGCTGGGAAAAATCTGAACTGTTCTTTCATCCCTTCTGCATGGTAATTATACAAGTGTACATTTAATCCAGAAATGATTTGCTGCCAGGAAACAATTTATTGGTAGCTTGACATTTGTCACAGTATTCAAGTGTTGACTTTTGGTGAGTATCTGTGCATTGGATCACAGTGCCTTAAAAATGATGACGAATGTAATTGTTATTTGGAGACTATGCTGGCTCAGAAGAGTGTTCTGTGTTGACCAGTTAACAAATAATTTGAATGTCTTGCACTGAGCTTATATATTAATCTGTGGATCAAGAAATGTTTTCCTTTTATGGCATTTTGTTTCTATCCAGTCTTTTCATAATCCAGAAGCGTTTTTTCTCAGCTCTCTTATTCCTAGTTGATTTGGGGCCAGCTGGTGCCTGCAGGGAATTTCTGATGTAGCACTCCAGAAACTGCTTTAGCCCCAAACTGAGTGCAAGCAGCCAGATGCTGCAGCATCATGCAGCTGTATGATGTGGCACAGACAGGGAAGTGTGGGTCTTTAACTGCCATATCCAGCCCAGAGGGCATCATACCAACGTAAAGATGATCCATAGTTTGACAAAATCTCTCTTAGCTTGCTCCCTTGCTCAAGTGTCAGCAGAGACGTGATACTTTTGTGTTTCATCAGCGTTAGGCTGCATTTCTGTGCCCTCTGGACGTTCAAGGGAGCTGTTCCTGATCTGGCCTCTCTGTCAGAAAGGGCCTGAATAAAGATTAGGGAGTCCCTCTAAAGTGGGAGTCATCAGAGCAATTCTTGCAAATAAATTACTTGATGTTCAGTGTAGACTTTTTTTTTCCTAGCAATGTCTCTTTCATGCAGCGGTTCTTGATGTGCAGAAGTGACTTGGGAACTGAGTGCTGGGTAATCTTACATTGAAATGTTAAATCTTGTTAGAGTTGATGTAGTTGTAGTCTGTTGCCTTCAAATCAAAATTGATCGATGTGTATTTATTTCCTGTTCAAATGTTGGCGTTGCCAGTACTGCACCAATGGCATTTTTAGCAGGAAAAAAATGTTTTCTGAAAGTTGGAGGCTTATTCACAACATACGTATAGCTTGATTGGTTTTTTTTGCAATTATTTTTGTTTGCCAGGCATATGCCATTTTACTTTCTTGGTCGATGTTGAAAGATTCAGGTGCTTTTAAGGGACAGCAGACTAATCTAGGTGATGTTAGGGCAAATTATTATATTGTTATGAGAATATTAATGCAGCAGTAATGTTACATTTTGCTCTTAGGAAAAAAAAAACACACACACAAACGTAGATAATTTATAAACCCCGGAGTTGGATGTTCACAGTTCTAGATGACTGAAAAATACCTGAGATATACCTAGCTAGATTAGAGCTCAGGCTTTTATCATGAAATTCTGACAAGTGTTCCTCCAGTATGATCTTAAATGAGGAAACATTTGTAGGAAAAGATAACAGTGTTCCCTAAGTCTATCAGCTGTTTCCAGTTATGTCAGTTGTTCTAATAAATAACATTAAAATAACATTATCTCTCCCTATGAACCTTGCTTGCTTTCTATCCCTGGGCAGTACCTCCATACTACTACTCCTGAGTTCTCTTACTCAGGCAGCTGGGAAACGGGAGGGCGGGCTTTTACTGATGGATTGTTTTCAGCACAAGTTTGGAAGCTGTTTCAGAGAAGAGACCATGTGAGCCTCATACCCTCCACCGCATCTGAGTTGTGAGTGCTGGAGAGATGGATTTTTTTCTTCCCTGGCAGGGACTCGCAAAGCTTGAATATGTGTGGTAGGATAGACTATTAGTACGTGTTGAGGTAGCAAGGGCGGAGCAAATATTGCAGGGGAAGAGAGAGAAGTGTTCTGAGAGCAGAGAAACTGCCGGGAATGTCCCGTTGCATTACTTTGCTGTGTGTCTGTGTGCCTAACTGGCTGTTCTGGTTATATGATGTTCCCTCACTCCAGGAATTCTGTCTCTATGCAGTATCACATGTATTTTAGATGTGATAAAAATATCAAGGAAAAATAATTCTAAGAATTATAATAAGAGAAGAATGTATGAAGAGTTATAATATGCAAAAATCCTCAAAGAAATAAACGCAAATATGAGAAAATCCCAAATGTATGGAAACATGTATGCTGGTCTCATAACTCCCTGAGACTTATTTTCAGATTATTCTCAGATACCCATTTTTTGCATGCATATTTTTATGCAGTGCTTCTTAAAAAGGATACTTTAAAAAGGAATATTTAAGTATGAATAGATGTCTTAATAAATGGCTCATTTTCCTAGGGCCGAATAGATTTATAAGGTTAATTTAGAAGGGAGTCTGATGACAGTTTCTCCCTGTTAAAACAGAAGTTTGTGACATTCTTATAACATTTCATAAGTATGAGGGTCTTCTTACACCTGTTTATTTGATGAATTGACACCTTATATGATTTTTACATTATTTTAGCCAATTGGGATTTACTGCCTGCAGATTTACTATATGCCATTTGCCAAAGATCTTAGCGTTCCTCCTACATAAATGGGTATTTTTTTCATCTGTTTTGCAGATGCACAGCACTCATTCATGAAAAGAAAAATATATTCGTCTGCATCTATTTATAAGTGTCAAATTCTGGATCATGCCCAAGTCAGTGAAAGCTGCGTGCACAGAAATTGGCCAGAAGCAAGAAGCTTCTTTATTCATAAGGTTGATGTTAAGCAGTGGACCAAATCCCATCTCAGTTCCACCAGTGTAAATTATCTGTTGAGTAATCCTAGCATTACAATAGCATAATTGAGATCGAACTTGGCCTGTAATGCCGTCGATTTTTTTTCCTCTTCCCATAGCTTTATCCTGCCAGGATTCATGCTGAAATCAATAAGAGTTCATGTTAAGGCCTAATCCTTAAGCTTGTTCTATATAGTACTACAAAGTCTAGGCACAAGCTATGGTAGAAAACTATATCCATAAAAAGGAATTACATAAGTGCTGTAATGCTGCTGTTGGCTGACAGTCATCCCAGTGATTACTGGAATGTTTTGCTTTTTAAAGCTGAAAGCTAGAAAGAAAGCAGGACTGAATATGTAGCAGGGTGTTAGATGAGGTCAGAGTCACATAACAATTGTTGTGCCTCCCTGCGGTCTGCTCTAGTTTATTAATATTTTGTTTCATTCCTGTTCTAAAACTGGACAATTTAAATATGTCATCACATACTGTATAATGTTGCTTAGTAATAGCTAATATTGCCAGCAGCAACTGAAAGGAAGACATGTATTTATACAGGCTATAAATGGAAAGCTTAATAAATCAATCGATGGACCACTTTCCTTTGCTGGCAATAAACTGTTTTAATAGCAGTGCGGATGCTGCTGTAGTAGTTGGAAGAATGGAAGGCACAATCATTTTGTTTAGTGAAGGAGCAAATATTAACGTGTAAATGTGGCTGGTCTTTTCCAGGGTGTTATAGGCTGCTAAGTGGAGAGGTTTTTTTCTTAACTCAGGTGTTAACATTACCCATAGTTGCAAAGAAGAAGAGCCTTCCCCTGAGACAAACTTTCCTACTTTTTCCCTCTTCAGTTTTCCTAACTCAGCGCTTGTGTATTTTCGTTGTTTTTCAGCAATGGGTAGAAGGGCTTGGATCCATCATACATAACTTTAGAGCTAACAATGTCAGTCCCATGACATGTCTCAAGAAACAGTAAGTTACCTTCTCTCCTCCCCTGTCCTCCTCCTGTATTTTTCTGGCCTCGTATTTTCCTATTTGCATTCTTTTAGATTTCTTTTCTTCTTTTCTTGAGTTCAACATCTGCAGTCACAAAAACAGTCTAATGCAAAAGTGGTGTTAATTGAGTTTAAGGTTTATGTTTCATTGTGACCAGACGAGGTCTCAAGCCTGTATCTGACAGCTGCCAAAGAGGAACTGAGAGAGAATTTCGTACTGTTCATTTGATGTATTGATATTATGTGTTTTATTTGTTGTCTGGATGGTTTTTGTTGATGCATACACACAAACAGAGCCCCATGAGTCTGTCTTCTCTTCAGACTCTTGTTAACTGTGGTACTGATTATTGTGGGCTGATTTTTGCCTTTACAGTTACAGAGCTGCCCTACCTTAAGCACTAAAGGGTTACGGAGAAATATTTTTATTATAGAACAATTACTTGTTTGTACTGATTTCACAGAGAGGCCAGTATTCTTGAGATGAACATAAGTATCTAGCTCCTCATTTTAATTAATGGCATTTTAAAACTATTTCATTCTTAATTGCAGCTGGATGAAGCTGGCATTTCTGACGAACACAAATGGCAAAATTCCAGTTCGGAGGTAAGCACAGTTAGGAATTCAAGTTTTTAGCAAGTAGTGGGTGTCTAATGTTAATCAAATTCTATGACTTAGAAAAAATCAGGCTACTCCGTAAACTTCTAACTACAGCTTTGGAAAAGAGGGTGGATCAAAGCTGCGGTCTGGTCTCCCCTCTGCGACAGAGCCCTGATGGGAGGCAGTAAGATCGCAAGAGCGGACAGGTCCCAGCAACCTCTGTTTGTGGTGAAGCGGGATACTGGCATGCAAGTGTCTCAGTGCTGGGCAACCCAGGGCATGGGGGACTTCACTGCCTCCCTCCTCCTGTAGGCGCTTAGCACAGAGGAGGAGCATGGAGAAAGGGAAGGGGTAGAGAAGGAGGCAGAGGCATAGGAGGAGGAGGAGTATGTGGCTGAGGAAACCAGCTGAAGGAAGGCAAGCCAAGAAGCATTGGGAGATGCAGGCAGAATACCTCTGCTATGCACCATCGCCGAGTTTCACATTGTTTTGCCAAGTCTCTCCCCAGTATCTCTTTCCCCTGATAAACCAGTGGTGCTTCTTCAACACACCTCCAGATTGCTCTGATCTGCCTTATATATGTGTTTTTAAACATAGTGCACTCTAGTCAGCCCTGCTTCTTCAAATCTCTGCCTCCTCCTCCTCCTGCCCAGAGATCCCCGCAGCAATTGCTGTAGCTGTGGAGATACAGAACTTTGTTCTCTCAGGAGAAGACCTTGCAGATATGGTAAGCTGTGGGAAACCTATATCACAGTATCAGCTTTACTTCATTTTTACACTGAAGCACAATAAAACCCTGCGAGAAAATCTCACCTTGGAAATTAGAGCTCTCCATTTCTTTTTAAGTTGAGTGCAGGTTGTTGCAGCTAGCACGTGGCTATGGAGAATGCAAGCCGTGGGAAGGTGAAACACCTTAGGCTGGTCAGTAGTAAACAGCATAAATGTTCTCCTCACTCTGCTTTAGAACAGTTGAGATTGCAGGGTCGTGACTCTTCTTGACTACTTTTGGATTTTAACCTACTCCGGGGCATATCTCTATTACTGCCAACGTAGTTACTGTGTTTCAGAGATAAGAAATACTGGCATAGTTAGTAGTGGGGAAACCTTAGGAGAGCATCAGTTTTGTCTTCTAGACCTTAATAAGTTTCAGCAGTCTGAGACTAGGACTACATCTGCAGATCTTATGAGGATATGGCTTTGATAAGATGCTTTGTATTTTCTGATTTTAACATTTCTGTAGATGATCATTAACAAGATCAACATTTATTTAAAAAATCTACTCAATTTCTGCAACTTTCTGTTGGCAGAAAACACGTGCACATAGGCGTGCAAATTGCACCACTTTAGCTAGAGCCTATTTAAAAATTAGCTAAGCTCAATCTATGCTTATCCTTTGTATAACTACCTTATAACTTAAACTAACAGCTTCTATTTATGAACCTACCAACAGAAGCTAAACTACGATAAATGAGGATTAAATCTGTTTTACACTGGCTTAATTAAGTTAATTAGAAATTACACTTTTTGTTAGTATATATATTTAATATCGATTACTCCAAACTGGTTGGAAGAAATCTCAGTCTACAGTTTCATGAGGGTTGGAAATCATAGTTTTGGAGGATTTCTTACAGAGTGAAGGCAGTGGTACTTCCAGTTCTAGCCAAACTGATGAAATCAGTGTAGCCAAGATAAAAGATTGTTATGAACAGTTGTTCTGAACAGTTCGTGTGTTGATTTGATTTTTGAAGTAATGATTTGAAAGTAGTAAAGCTTTGGAGTTGTAACCAAGTCATTTCATGCATCAACAAATGGGATAGATTTATATGTTCAGTCCCAGATCTGGGAGGTGTTTTAAAAATTTATTAATGAAAAAATAATTGGCACACTGCAAAAAAAAAAAATTAAAACACCTGTAGAACATGAGGATTAAACACCTGTAGGTATCTGTCAGCCAATAACTTCCTTGCTTCAGAAGTAACGTGGTTTTTTCCCGTGGCATACAACGAGAAGAATGTAAATCTGCTAGGATGAAGTCTCTTCTAGTAGAGGAAAAAGTAGGATTTTTTTATAATATCTGTAGCAAAATGAAAGTGTTATGTTGCATTATTTTTTGATCCATGCAATCTTTTTCTAGGCTGCTGCTCTCATTACAAATTATTACTGTGTTTGCTGTCATCTTTGGTGAAATAAAAGATAATTTGGCATCAAAAATAAGTTTTCTGCAGCCATGGGATCTTGGCTCACAGTTTCTGATTAGTTACTTATGCCAATATTACACGTGTTTGACGTGACATTTATTACTGGGGGCCAATTCATTAGAACAAGCGTAGAGTTTTTATAGGGCTGAAGATAGACTGTAAATCTAGCTAGCGTTATTCTGCATCTCAGAATAGAGAAAGTAGAGAAATAAGTCATGAGATTTAAAAAAAAAAAAAAAAAAGGTGCCTGAACTCCTCAGTCCACATTTTATTGAAAACATCTTAGTACTTATCAACTTTGAAAATCAAACAACTTACTTAGGTGGCTAAATAGGGACATAGAGGTCTAACTGTATTAGGAAGCCAGAAAAAAAAATTGGCCAAGTTTTGTTAAAATATTATTTTATCATTTAGATCTTTGGCTTGCTGATATTCATTTTATTAGTATGAAAATATTTACGTAAGAGGTTTAGAGTGTTTTGGAGAGTAAAACAACTCGGAATTGCTATGGCAACAAATAAAAACAACAGTTTGTTTCACATCTTTCCCTTTGTGAAATTATTTAATATGCAGGGGATTAACAGAAAGACTCAGCAAATGTTTGTTTCACTTGATGATAAAGAGCAACATATTCTCATCGGGCTACAGCTGTAGCATGTTTCCCAATGTACAGCTTTTGACAGTGTTAGAAAGAGATATGCCTACAGACCACAGTTTTCCTATCCAGATTGAGATGGCAAAATCAAGTGGTTGTAGGACCCATCATTTTAGGTTAAACTCTAGAAATAAGAAAGGAGAGCTGTTAAGCTTGGATCTACTTTTCCAAAGTTAAGAGGCTATTCAAGTGTAAACAGAAATAGACCAAAAGTTTTCACATTAATCATACCCAGTATCTAAGCTTTAATTGGATTTATTTCCTTTCAAGTGAAGCCATGTCAGTCTCATGCATGGTGAAATCACTCATGTTTTACAGAAGGAAGTGGATTTTAATCACAGAGTTTGGAAATATTTCAGTGGAAGTGGAAACCTACTTAAACAAGTTGTGCACAATCTGTCTAGAACAGGATTATTTGTAAGGGCTGTAAGGTGAGGGAGCATTCAGAGGGAGGAGTGACCACTGCAGCCGATGAGAGAGCAAGGAAGGAGATTTGACTTGCAACTGAGAGTTTCTCGTTAGCACAGAGAGCTTGAAAAGGAAAGAGGAAGGAAAGGGCCATTGGGAATGGTTCAGGCCTACGTTATGGGTGGCCTTCTGAGAGGAGCAGGTCAATGCTCAGAAAGGAAGGGGAGTCCCCACAACCGGGAATGCCTGGAGACATGACTCTCCTCACCTGGAGAATCTGCTGCTCTTTAAACACAGTTGTTTGCCTATGCATGCCGTCACATGGCAAGAGCCAGAAGAATGATGCTTTGCACAGTTCTGTAGCCCAGTATATTGGAAGAAAAAAAAAAAAAACTTTCGTTCTTTTTGCAGTTCATTATTTTGATATATTTTGTAATGGATAGCTAGCAGACAGGGCATTTCTGCTGTGTGAAACTCAGAGCACGTGCTTACGGAACTCAGTTGAGTTCCTTACTCAACTACACGAGTACCTGGAAGGTGCTTAACGTTCATCAGTGGGAGCCAGAGGAAGGTGTTGGCAGAGAGAGAGAGAAGTGATTGTTTAAGAAGTGACTAACATTTTTCCTTTCCCCCCCCCCCACTCTTTTTTGTTTTAGCATTACCAGAACCTTTGCATCAGGTAAAACAGAAAAAGTGATCTTTCAGGCGCTTAAGGAATTAGGTCTTCCCAGTGGAAAGGTATTTAGCAGTTTTGAATAAGTTTTTTGTATATTAAGAGATGGATGAATCATTCACATTTGTAGCTGTGATCTGAGCCGTTTGCGTCATATACCCACGAACAATAGGTATGTTTTTAAGTTATTCATCACCATAGGTTGTTTACTAAGAACAAAATGTAATTAAATTTATGTGACATCACTGGTCCTTAAACTTCTTGGATCAGGCTTATTTTCTTTTCTGTAATAGCCTGCCCCCTCGCGCATTTATATAAAATATATTGGTGCCGAATACGCACCTAGTGTTTTTCTGTCGCGTGCTGGGCCCCGGTTGCCTTTCCTGCGCCTTGTCCTCTGCGTGCTGGAGCTGCTGCCCACAGTCCCGCACAGGTGACGACTGGCTGCAAGTTGCAGCCTTTCTTTTCACC